GTTCAGTTAAAACATGTTTATTTTTTCTGGCAGATATATTTGCCCATTTTCTTCCATAGATCACTACAAAAATTAGATACGAAATTGAAAGTCTGCTCGTCTAAATTTAATTTCCCAATAGCTCTGATCTTGTTCCATTTCACATTCAACAAAAATGGAATGTGTGTGATTAAGATAAACCTTTATCAGGTCTGGAAAAATCAATACCACAGTTGTCTCCTTCCATCATTCAGAGGTTTTATTGGCAGTTACAGTGTTTGCCCTATTGCAAGGAAAATCTCCCTGGATCAGATGTCTGACTCATTTTTCAGTCTGTGCATCTCTTTGCTTACCTCATTCACTAATATTGGACCACAATAAGGGATTCATGATTTCAGAGAACAGCTAGTTTAAGTGGTGACTTTTTGTCAAATTTATTTATTGGGGTTGGGAGATTTGTTTATACTGGGGAACAGTAGCAGATATGTTGTTCATTGTTTAGGTCAGAATATACCTGGACTTCTTTGGATTGCTGGTCAAATCAATATCTTGAAGACTCTGTTTGGATTAGCTGATAAGAGAAATGGATTATAATGGTTCAATTCTAGATGTTTACTTCCATTATTTACTTATTCAGTCCTTCCCATTTGCTTTTTTCTAGGCTAAAACATCTTCCACTTGTGAAGCGATAGTTTGGATTTTTAAACATCTTTTGGTCTCAAAATGGATCTCCTCTATGATGGCAGATCAACAGCGCAAGGCATATTTGAATGTTCTGTAAATACTGTATTTATGTTGGCTTTGATAGCATAAAAACATACAAGTTGAATTTATGATTTCAGAGTTACAAATAAAAGGAAATGTGGTTTATGCTAGAGAAGTTTGTTCAACTTTATTGTAATATGAAAAGGAATCATGAAAATTATGCATTTTAAAGAGGATGAGCATGAAGAAATTTTAATAAAGTAAATTTACTGATCTTATGCCTAATGTCTTACAATCATTTTTCAAGCCTGAAGTATAAATATGTGAATATTGTAAAGCAGTAATATTCACCAACAGCTGCCTTTTTTGAAATCTTTGACCACTGAAGTAGTATAGCAGTGTTCTGTTATTGTTATGAGGAAAATCAGTCTTTCCTTTAAAAATTACTATTTTGGGGACCCACTCTAAAGAAAAACTCATGACGATGGGGCTTGTGACTAGCTTTCTTTAGACCAGGGCTTTTTTGTCTTCAGGCTTTTCATGCTTGCTTATGCATCCTAACTCCCTGCAGGCATGATGGTTTAAAAGGCTGAAAAAAATGTTTACAATTAAGAGACAAGTGCAGTTGGTTGGAAGCGGGAGAGAGCAGGCAAAGGTGAAGTTGATTTCATGTGCTAGCCCATCTTTCCCAGGAAACATTTATTTGAGGACTGGAGCTTGCTACATAATTCAGCAACCCTTATTTGCAGGGTTATCATTATTCCCATTTTTCTGATGTTTAGGTGTGTGGGTGCCATCGCTTATGTACAGGAAAAAAGTATCAGGAGACTCAAGAGATCCCCAAGATTTGCATAGGTACAGAAAACCTGGAGGAGGAGAAAACCACTAAAAGTGTGTGGGAGGGGAGAGGATGGCCCAAGGAGGACTGAGCATGCTCAAGAGCTGCAGAAAGCATCCTCAGTGTGGGAGGGGAGAACTGGAATGACCTCTACCATGAGAGCATCTGCATTCAAGTGTCAGATGTAAATCGTGCTGTCAGAGCTGCTCCCCGATCCTAGCTCACAGAGGATCACGCTAGCCAGCGTTCGCTTTATAAAAGTCTTTATTGATTTACAGTTTCCATTTCCAAGCTGCTGCGTGCAACTCTACGTCTTATGGCTAGACCGGCGAAGCTCCGTCTGAGTCTCCGCCCCTCGTACACCAACTTAATATCCTCGCCTTACTCCACCTTTTCCGCCTGACCGTCCTTCTCTGGGTCCCTCTGCCCCCCGTGGTCTCCTCCCTCCGGGACTCCTCTGACGCTGACCCCCCGGACCCTCCTGTCTCCTTGCGTCGGGCTTTAGGACCTGGCTCCCTTTCCAGGCTGCTTACTGCGCCGCCTTCCTGTGCATTTGAACTTGGCGCGCGTGCCCAACCTTCCACTTTCCGCTTGACCGTTTCTTCGCTCCCCGATGGGGGTGTGGTCACTCCTGACTCATGCCCTCCTCCCTGCTGCGAGCTGCCAGGGCTCGATCCCTGACGTCCTTCCTCTCCACTGCGCTCTGGTGGGGACGCTGGCCCCGATTTCCAACTGCTGCCCTCTGAACCCCCGCTGGTCCTTTCCTCCTGGGGTGTCCCCCTAGGCCCCCCCTTTGCTCTGGCCACTGGCGCTCCTTTCTGTGAATCTTCCGATTCACTGGAAAGACTCGGAGATCTCGGGTCGTCGTCATCACTCATCCTTTCTTCGGACTCCTCCCCCTCGCTCTCTGTTTCCTCCCTTGCCCTCGCCTCTGCTCCTGAACCCCTGACACGTGCGTATTGATAGTTGCTTTTGTACCATAATAGAAATTCTATGGGATTTAGAGGGGTTTTACAGAAGGATGGGAAAGTTCAGTATTCTATAACCACTACAGCACATTAGAGAGTGGAGGGAGAAAGCTGAGCTTCCGATGTGTGAGCCCAACACAACTTATACCCCACACATCCAGAAAAGTGTTTTCTGTTATATGGCACTGAATTGCATCGAGCCCAATACGTTTCCTTCAGCACAAGACCTTGTCAAATGCCTCTCCCTACAATACTGCTCTGTACTATGGGGCATTCCAGGTTTGTCAAATATCCCCTATATTGATGACAAAACAAGCATTGGACAGCCTTAAGAGGAAAAATGTGCTAGACCTGGGGCTCTTGTGGATACTACCATCCAAAATATTAATATGGTTGTGGTTTTGTTGTTTTAAAAACCCTTTTAGTATGAGTACATTTCCAGTATGGAGAATATGTCAAAGTTCTTATTTCTCCAGTCTACTCACCACTGACCACATTGCAGTCTCTTACTCCTGTTTTGGATCCTACCTTATCGTAGGGTCCTCTCAAAATGGGAAACAAGGCTATATCAGAATGTGTAACTTTTTATTCGGTATGATGTTCCTGCCACCCAGGAGCAGCTTCATCTGGGCTTTGGTGACCTGGACGCAGGATGGATGCAAGTATATCAGATAGACCATCTGTGGTCAGATCCACACACTTAGACCTCTAGCAAGATTGGGAGGCTATCTTCTTAAATATGGGGTTCAGAAAGGGCCTAGTTCAAAGAAATAAAGGGTTTTAGCTGTAATAATAAAAATAAATTTTATTTATACCCCACCCTCCCTGGCCAGAACTGGGCTCAGGGCGGCTAACACCAATAAAATTTCAGTAAAAACATAAGAAAAAAAGAAAAAGAAAAAACAATGTAAAATACAGGTTAAAATGCAATTTAAAATGCAGCCTCATTTTAAAAGTCAAAACCATAAGGGGAAGGAAACAAAAATGTATGGGAAGGTAAGACAGTAGGATAAAATATGGATGGAAAAAACCATTGAAATCTATTTCAGTCCATACTAGGGAAACAGTGTTAAAACTCTGTCATGAGACAGAGCCCCAGTTCAAATGTCTTCTGTCTAATGTGGCCCCTGAATGTGGCACTTATTTCCACTTTATAATAATTTTATTGTTTTATCTTCTTTTTGTAAACCTCTTTAAGGTTTTGGGTTTTTTTGCATTCAAGCAGTGTATAAATTTCATAAAATAATTAAAGTGATGGTGGAAATGCCTCAAGACCAAGGACTGCAATAATGGGAGCGATTTAGATGAGACTGCAGCTGGCCCTTCTCTCCATCTTCAAAGGAAATAACCAAGATGTTCTGTTTCAAGATATTTTGCTTTTCTTTAGTGGTAGCTGCCTGAGTTGACCATTGTGCAAAAATTAGTACAAAAAGTGTGGAACATGGCTCTTTCTGAAAAGCTTACGTTCCATCTTCAGGCACTGCGGGATCTTGCTAAACCTGATGCCTTTCCCACTATTTGGTGAGATTTTGTAACATGCTTTGGCAAACATTACTTGCAACAGGAACACCCAGCAAACTCTCTTGAGATACGGAACTCTTGATTTGATCCCTTGTTAAATTACAATGATCAGCATGATGTGATCTGTTTTCCTTACTGTTGGGTTTTGTTATTATACCTACATTATTGACGTGGACTTTTCCTGTTCTCCCCCTTATATATATATCAAAATTAAATTTAAAAAAGGTTTATACAAAAATGCATGCCTGTACATCAATGAGATCTAAATAAAAACACTAGCATTTAAAGAGAGAAGTGTAGGCTCAGATGTGATTCAAGACTTAGTTTACAGAGGAGACTCTGCTTGGCATAGCCAGGATTTGCGGGGGACGGGACAGAACCTCAGTGTGCTATGTATTTTTATTTATTTGTATTGATGGGGGCGCAGCTATGCCCATGGCTGGGTGTGTGATTATGTGATTAGTTGTGTGACCCAAAGCAAACCCTCAGCTCCCTGCTCTGGGCCATAAAATCTGAAGTTCCTTTTTTGTTGTGTTTTGTGTATCAAACTTAAGGGCAAATAAGCTCCTGGGCTATTAACATCAGCTGTCACATGGCCCACCTACCTCCAAGTCAGCACCATTGAACTCAGCAGGAATAGAAATGCCTAAGATTGCGTTGCAAATTCCCACTGCTGAGGGGCAAACACTTTGTTTTGGGGATGGTGGGTTGTTGTCTATCACCTTATAGTAGTTTCCTTCTAGCCTTCCCAGAAAATGTTCTTGATTTTGATATGTGTGTGTTGTACATTCCTATCACAGTGTGTTGTACTTTACTGTACGTACTCAAAATACTTTTTTTTTAAAAAAAAAACCTATCATCATAATTTTTATTATTATTATTATTATTATTATTATTATTATTATTATTATTATTATTATTAAAACTCGCGCTCTGAGGCGTCAAGGAGAGTGCCCCAGGGCTTGTGCAGAGTACAAATTCCCGGTTTGTTTTCAGAGGTGCAAGCTCTGCTCCCATAAGCGGCGCTGAGCCTTTTCCCGGGAGGAAGCCGAGAAGCGCTCCGTGATCTCGGAATCCGGGCGTCCCGCTTCGCCTCAGGCCTAGAGGGGAGGCGCGGGGGCAAGGCGGCTCTTTCCCCGACGGCGGAGAGGAGGAAGGGGCTGGCGGGAGAAGCCGCGAGCCAGGCCGGTTGCTAAGCGTTTGGGAGGCCGCCGCCGGTGGAGGAGCAGAAGGAGGGAAAGCGACCCTCGGAGTAGCTGCCTCCGCCGTCGGGGAAGGGAGGGGAGGGTTCCCGCCCTTGGAGATGGCGCCTCCGCCGATGGTCTGCCCGGACGACCCCCTGGCCACCGAGACCCGCCCGCCGCAGGCCTGGGAGGGGGACCATGAGAAGCTGGCCAAGGTGGGGTGGCGGAGGCGAAGCGGGTGGGGCGAGTTGTAAGGAACGAATGATAAGGGGGCGGCGCAAGTTACCCGTCAATGGATTTATTTCTTTGATTAACATCGACTTCTCGTTCCTGCAAGAAGCGGTGCATCACTGGGTGGTATGGTATTAGTCCTGCTGTAAGGGCAGACCCCTCTTAAGTTAGTCCTGCTGCTTAATTTCAATGGATCTAATCATGAGTGTAGGCAGGGCGGGGCAGCTGCCCCCCCATCAACAAAAATACATAGCTAACTGAGGTTTTGCACTCCCAACAAAAGGCCTAAAGGTAAAGGGACCCCTGACCATCAGGTCCAGTCGTGACCGACTCTGGGGTTGCAGCGCTCATCTCGCTTTACTGGCCGAGGGAGCCGGCATACAGCTTCTGGGTCATGTGGCCAGCACGCCTAAGCGGCTTCTGGCGAACCAGAGCAGCGCACGGAAACACCGTTTACCTTCCCGCCAGTATTTATCTACTTGCACTTTGACATGCTTTCGAACTGCTAGGTTGGCAGGAGCAGGGACCGAGCAACGGGAGCTCACCCTGTCACAGGGATTCGAACCGCCGACCTTCTGATCAGCAAGTCCTAGGCTCTGTGGCTTAACCCACAGCGCCACCCGTGTCCCAAAAGACCTCCCCCCCCCCCAATCCTGGCTACGCCCATAGATCTAATTCTGAGTAGGACTGCAGACCCTCCAGATGTCCCTATTTTCCAGGAACATCCCTGATTTAGAGAAGTGGTCCTGGTTTCTGATTTGATCCCGGAATGTCCCGCTTTTCCTTAAGACATGCCTATTTTCATTGGAGAAATGTTGGAGGGTATGGCGTTATCTGAACCCCCCTGCCGTCTGAAGGCAATCCTGTATAGAGAAGGGTTTTTTAAATGTTTAATTATGTTTTTCTATATGTTGGAAGCTGCCCAGAGTGGCTGGGGCAACCCAGTAAGATGTGGGGGGGGGTATAAATAGTAAAATTATCATTATGGAATGAGACATCCCTATTTTCATCGAAGAAATGTTGGGTACAGTACTTACCTGATAAGGAAATCTCTTAAAAGTCACTCAATGCAATTCTAACCGTGTCTGCTCAGGAGTAAGCCCTATTGCATTCAACAGGGTTTACTCCCCGGGAAATGGGATTAGGATTGCAGTCCTGGTTAAAATAAAGTACCAGGGGTGTCATGTAGCACTTTTCTTCAGACCCAGATAAAAATGTTAGGAAGCCAGTGGCAACCACTTCACACAACCATCAGCAGCCACCAGGAACCAATTCACATGTGGAGAGATTTAAAATAGACTCCAATGAGCCATTTTCCCCAGGATTCATGTAAATTGGCTTCAGTGGACCTGCAAGAGAGAAACTGACAGAACAGAAGGTATTTCTAATTACACTTTGTACAGCCCTGTTCTTGACTGGTGTATCTACAAAAAAACATTGACAGAAGATAACATGAGATACTCTGTTCTTTCACAGATTCATTTTAAAATTTTAAAAGGACATTCAGCAGCTGTGACCTCCTGTCATTTCTGTTTTGATGAAACAAAAGTTCTTTCAGGCTCTTATGACAGCACAGTGAAACTCTGGGTAAGCTTGTTACAGACCTGAAGCAAGAAATCTAATTGATCATATTGCTCTGAAGTCTAAACCGTAGTTTATCATATTAGCACAAAGGTTAAGTGAAGCATTGGTGACAGTACCAAACATACACTGTCTCTAAGGTCTCTAAGGTCGCACTCTTTTGCACACTCAGCTTGGAGTAAGTCCCAGTGGAATTTATTTCTGAAATGACATAGATAGGATTGAACTGTAAAGTATTTGACACAATTTTACTTGCCAAATTAAAGTGGTAACTTTCCCACTACTTGCACAATGAACGCTTGGCCTGCAGAGCTCATTTTTGTAGGGTGTGGTGATGGTTCGGTATATATTATGTTTAAAAAAAAGAGTAGAAAGGTTAGAAGCTATAAATAATATAAATGGAAATGTGGGAAAAACATTCCACTTTTGCATTGTGGGTACCTCTGAACCTGAGACACTGGGCAGAGAATAAGAATACAATTTATGCCCTGTGTGGTTGCATTTGCCTTCAAATAGCCCAGAATAGTTCTTTTTGAAGAGATAAATATATCATGCAGCCAATGTATCATGTGGCTTCATCAGGTAAACAGAGGTAATTGATTTATCGGATGCAAGTTCTGCGGGCAGCTTATAAGCAGAACTATTTAGAATAATTAAGTGGAAAAATATGTCCTACGAATTAGCCTTCATTGTCTTTTTCAGTCTGAACACACTACTGAATAACCAAGTTTATCTTTATTTCTTGAAGGATATTGCCGGTGCTGTCTGTATTCAGACCTTTGAAGGTGAGCACACTGGGCCCATTTCTGAATGCTGCCTGAGTCCTGATAATAAAAGGTGATAACACTGTTGCATTTTATATATTAATTAGTAAGTCACAGAACTAATTATATTCAGCAAGTGGGTTTATAGGAACAGGGAAATGAATGATGACAAAACAGAACGGCCAATGCAGTCCTGCCTTAGAAAGCCAGTAGGAAAAATTATTACCACGACTGTGTTATTATATATATCTTATAAAATACTTGAATCTTTTTTATTAAAAAAGTAGATTAATTAGATTTTAACTCAGTGTTGATATAGTATTACTACCACATGTAATGAAGTCCGCAAAAGCTTATGCCATGTTATATATGCCAGTCTTTAAGGTGCCACAAAACTGTTGTATTTGCTGCAAGAGACTAACAATTATTCCTTGGGAGAGAGTATTGCCACTGAGTCTGGCTGCTACAATGTGGAGGAGCCAAGAGAGGAGCATATATCTGCAGTGCTACTCCATGAGTTCATATTGGGACAAATGGAAGATGGTGGGGTGGCTGGGGTCTCACCAGACACCATCATCATGCCACTTGCAGAGATCAGATGCATTCAGTGAGTGCAGCTGATAAGAGAATAAAATTCTGTGTGAAGATGTACAGTTTTGCAGAGGCATCTTCAAGGGACGGAGATAAGCTAATCCTCCTTTTGCTCGCACATTTATTTGCTACATTGCTGAATTTAAGACATCAGTGCAGCTGTTGTCAGAACTGAGTGGAGAGCCAGCTAAGAAGCATGAAGAGTTTCTATAAACCACTGTTTTGTTTTGTTTTAACTCTTTTCATTAAAAGATAACAGCGATGCAAATCAGTACAATATATTCAATTAAATCAATGCTTTCGCATTATGGCTAATTAATTTAGAAGAGACATTAGCTATCCAGACTGGTTATAGATAAGAGGAAAGCAAACAAGCATGATAACAAAATCATCTTCATGCCACGTTAAACCATACCTAATGTTTAACTGCAATTTCGTGCCAATGCCCAGCATGCTCAAAAATCCCTGCTTTGCTCCTCCTTTGCTCCTGACTGTGCTGAAACAAATCATGAACTTTGCATTGTCCTGTCATCTGAACCGGGGCTGCTTGTTTTCCCCAACAACCCATGAGTGCTAAGCCAAGAACAAACCTGGGCTACTGTTCATTGAAGAGAAAATAACCCACAAGCTGAGCCTGAGTTCAGACAGCACATCAAGTCGAGACTTTGCGGTTTTTTGCTCATGGCATTGAGTGGCCAGGAGTAGCTGGGACTTTTAAGCTACATGAACCAGCTCACTGCTCATTCGTCTTACACCAGAGCTAAATGCCATTTATGGTTTAACAGGATGCACAGACCAGACCACTGCATTAGTTGTCAAAATACTGAATGGCCATTAGGATAACAGTGCTTACGTTCTGGATTAGTCAAGAAAAATTGTTATTTTGGTCTAATGGAGGGTGCTGAAAAATAAACCGTGGGAGACAAATATAGATACTTATCCACCTTGGGATAAATATAATTGAATATCTTTGTTGTATAATGGACCTTAGTGCTTTTTTTTTACTGCTGTGTCAATGACAGAGCAGTTACCAAGCAACATCAGCTGCCGGAAAATGCAGAGGAAAGCTAGCCCCAGAAAACCTCATATTCAGAATAGCACGCAAATTCTAAATTGAGTCCAATGACAGCTCAATCCTGTGGTCTCAGTACATCAGGCATCCATCACTCCATCGTTGGGATTCTGTGCACAGCCATCAGCAGCAGAGGCAACATTTCAACAGTCGCCATAGGAACAAAAGCCATAATAGCAACAACATCAACAGTGCAGAGACTGCATCTCTGGCAATCCTGCCCCGTTTCCCAACAGCAACCCCATATTAGCCATGCAGGGGGTGACAGCTGAATGACCCCGTGATATAAGGCAGGATGTGATGAAGCTTGAATATTTTCCTGCCTAGTCTATGCACAGAAAACCAGGCAACCAGCACGAGACACAGTTTCTTCTGCAACTGTGTTGCAGTTGGAAGGAGGGCAGCTGCCACAGACTCCAGGGCTGTCTGACATGGGTACAAATTGTCTGGCAGCGCAAACACAAGCCGTCTGCAGCAGCTAGCCTTTTGCCAAGCAGGCCAACAGGGAAGAAAGGAGGCCTGTTCCAGTCGCAACTCCCAGCCAGCTTCAGAGCACAATAGGTGGGAAACAAGCATGGGAAGTCCAAGGTCTACCTAGGAGAAAGCTCAAGACCTGCTGTGGCCCAAATGCTTCCTCAAAGCACTCATCCTCAGACCATGCCAACCACTCCCATTCTGCTGGGTGTCTGTGTGAACAGACTATTTTATATTCTTTGCAAGAGGAGAAGGTTGCATGGTCAAGGAAGAGCAGAAATGTCTATACAGTGGTACCTTGGTTTTCAAACGCCTTGGTTCTCAAATGCCTTGGTTCTCAAACTCCCAAAACCTGGAAGTAAGTGTTCCAGTTTTTGAACGTTTTGCGGAAGCTGAACATCCATTGCAGCTGTCAGCTATCGTTTCTGGGGCCCTTGCACCAATCAGAAGCTGTGCCTTGGTTTTCAAACGTTTCGGAAGTCAAATGGACTTCTGGAATGGATTAAGTTTGGCGCTTTTGTTTTTGCTATTTTTTTTTTGTTGTTTTTGTTTTTGAGGCTTTTTCTGTTAATTTGTTTTTGTGACTGTGTGGAACTCAGTTCAGCTACTGATTGATTGATTGATTGATTGATTGCAGAAATGGATAAAAGCCCCCCATTCAAACAATGAGTACCATTAGTGCAGAGAAGAAGAAAAATTTAATTTTTATTTTTATCATATACAATACTGTCTTATTTATTTTATAGTACAGTACACTGATTATTGCTTTCATTTTATGGATCAATGGAATCGTTAGATAGTAAAATTCATGTTAAACTGCTGTTTTAGGGGTTGTTTTTAAAAGTCTGGAATGGATTAATTTGTTTTGCATTACTTTCTATGGGAAAGCGTGCCTTGGTTTTGGAACGCTTTGATTTTGGAACGGACTTCTGGAATGGATTAAGTTTGAGAACCAAGGTACCACTGTAATAGAGTAAACTCATACAGAGCAGCACCAGAAGCTTCTGGGAGGATTAGTGTGAAAGAGCACCGAGGTTGGATTTGAGTTTCAGTTCAGGAGGTTATAAAAACGATGCCCACAAGGCAAAGTTTACCTGCCACGTTGCTCTACCAGCAGTTATTTTAGGTGAGGGCACAGCAGGACTGCTCCAGACAGCAACTGCACCACCACATAGGCACTGCAGGAGGTGGACTGGCTTGATCAGCCTCCCAGGATCCCAGCCTTCCTGCTCTCTTAGCACCCAGGGGCACAGCCAAACAGAGCTAACTTGGAAGCGTGGGCCAGTGGAACAGCACAGACTTGTGACTTATGGGAGTCTATGACTCTGAGAGTGATGTGGCTCCATTCAGCAGGCCTTAATACACAAGGTACAATTTCTCCAGAGGCACTTTGCAACCATGCGGTGATGAGCTGTGGAGGCTTGCAGAATTATTTGGGCTCCTGATGCTGTGGGACTGAGAAAAGTGGTTGTCTGGGGCTGTCCATTAACTTCAGTGGGAGAGATTTAATGTATGCCGCTTCTGCATAATGTTACACAGGGGGAAGGAACAAGGCCCCAGAGAACATAGGATTCCTCCTAAGTTACATTCCACCTGGCTCGGCTCCTTAATTGCTATAGGGGCAGAAACTTTTGTTGCCACTTTAAAAGTGGGCTGGCACAGGGATTTTGAGAAACAATTCCATCCTACCCAGTGGCCACAACTAAGTCATATGATTTCCCCCCTTAAATATCTTATAAGCCACGTGAGCGGTTTGTATTTTCCTGCTTCCCAGGGTTTTCTGCTTCCTCCATAAGCACATCACATAAGAGAGAGAGAGCACCAGTTGATTTGCAAATGTGGAACATCCCAGTTTCCAGTTTGAGTGTAACTCTAATGAACAAAAGGGAGCTGTAGTATTTGAAGACATATCTATAGTGTCATTTCTCTTATCCTGAGGGCTTATCCGTGCTTCCTCCTTTCCCGCTACTTTCCCCCAGGAAAAACAGCTCTTTAGCAGTCAATCGGAGCAAACACAACTTGGGTTTTCTCCAGATTGCCATTTGCTCCTATTTTGCACTAAAGAGCAGGTTTTCCCTGCGAAAGTAGCTGCGCAAGGGGGAAACCGCTTGGAACCACGCTTAGAAAGCCCAGGTTAAGTGGAAAACCATTCCAGCTCATGCTTTTGAGGCAGGGGACAAGCAGAAGTGTGGACAAGCACTAAATACTATATATGATGGAGGGTGACTCTTTCCAGAATATGGGAGCGGAGCATAAAGAACATTCGTAAGCTATTTGTTATTGCTATCTTAATAATAATAATAATAATTAATTAGCATGAATCAAACATTTTTGCTGTCTTTGAACATGTAAATGTGTTTAATGTTTTAGGTTGATAACAGCATCATATGATAAAAGTCTAAGGGCCTGGGATACTGAAACAGGGAAAGTGCTTGTATGTATTGATTTTTTTTATCTAAAACCCCCTATTTAATCACTAGAAACTAAACTTCCCTTTTGCTGTATTGTTTTTAACACTTGATTGGAAGCCGCCCAGAGTGGCTGGGGAAACTCAGCCAGATGGGCGGGGTATAAATAATAAATTATTATTATTATTATTATTTACTCAAATGTTTATCCTTGCAAACACATGCAGTCATTTGGAATGGGGGAATAGTTTGGTGAAGTTTCTTGCAGTGAAAATTGGTGGTAGTGGGGTTATAGTTTTTTTATTACTATTATGTTACGCATTTAGTGTTTTTATGTTGTCAACTGGCCTGTGATCTTCAGATAAAGGTTGGTATATAAATTTAACAAATAACAATAATACAGTAATCTCAACACTTGTCTGCTCCAAATCAACTCCTCCCAAAACGACTTTTCTCGAACAAACGTTGATTTTTCTGTGGGGATTTCTACCTGGCCTTCAAACGGATTCCAAGGATAAGCTTACAAAAATCAGAAATATAATTTTAAAAATTAAGCATACAGTCAGAAACTGCGTGAAAACAGCAGCCAGTGACAGAACACCTTGGAGTGAAAGTCCTGGGAAAACAGAAAGGTCTTTGGCACCGACCAGCATGACATATCTGAATGGGTGTCAAGTAAGCGTTTGTGTGGAGGGCCTTCCATAAGAATGGGTTAAATTCATTTGTGTGTAATGTTTGGTTCCACCCCAATGGTCTAATTCAATTGGTACAGATTTTGATTATGTGATTAAAAAACCAAAACAATTAAAAAAATATATAGCAAAAGATAAAACGTGTGCTGCATTTCATGTACTTATATATGATTTCTGGCTCTGATCAGGATTCTGGCTCTGACCAGGATTAAGCTTTCAGAAGTTACTTACTGTTCCTACTAAACAGGACTGAACCATAGCCTTATCTCAGAATGTTCTGAGGCATAAATACAAGGTGTGACCGGAAAGTTCGGTGAATGGTCACAGAAATCGGACAGTGAGAAATATTTGAACATACACGCCTTACAGGCCTTCAAAATAGGCCCCCTCTGATACAATGCACCATTGACAAGGTTTGTAAAACTGTTGGAAACTTCTGGAGAAGTCCTCTTTTCGTACTGCTTTCAGTTCCCTTGTCACAGCAGCTTGGACATCTTCAATGGTTTGCCGACCTTCGTGGAAACACTTAAACCACTCATACACTGTCTTTCAGGTTACAGCTTCATCTCTGTACACAATTTTGAGCATTTTGTGGGTTTCCGATGCCGGTTGTATGTTTGAGTATTTCTTGCTGTCCGATTTCTGTGACCATTCACCAAACTTTCCGGTCACACCTTGTATAAATGCTTAGAAGTGAGTTAAATATTCTTTTTTAAAAACCCGTGAGCGTGATCCAGTCTGCCCTCTGCACGCTGCCAGGTACATGGTGGGAGTGTCACCTTGGTCTCAGTCACAAGCAACTTGAGCTGCATCTGGTCTCATGTGCATATAAGTTTGGTCCTTGGCTGATTGTTAATCCTAAAAGCATAACCTCAAGGGCTTCTCTTCTCTTCTCCAGTGGACTCTAGAGCAGGATGGCCTTGTGACTTCATGCCATATTTCTCACGATGGCAAGTACGTCGCCTCCAGTTCAGATTTGGAAAATGCTTTATTCATTTGTGGTGTAGAAGATGCGAAAAAGGTGGCATATGTCAGAGGTAACATTTTAAAAACTTGGTCACGCTCCTTTTCTTTATACCTGTTGAAAGACTCCAAGACGTACACATGCCTCTCACTTCAGTGGGACATGTACAGGATACGATTCTGTTTGGCTGTGCCCCTGTCCGTTTGCATATTGTACATGTTTACCTGCATCTAGAGTATATATGGATTTCTTACATATCACCCTAGAAGGAGCATGTCTTTGTACATACTGTTAATACATTGTTAAATATTTTAGTTCTGCTCTATTGCTTTGTTGTAGAGCACAATACAGCACACAGCACAGCTGAAAGCTTCAGTGACCCTATTTATGTGGCTTATCATGACAACCAATGCAAATATGGCTATAAATGGCAAGCATTGTTTGCCAAGTACCCAATGAAATTGTGTGTGTATACACTGTTGCATGCACCCCAATCTCTGAGTAGCAAGATACTCCACAGGTTTCTGTGCTTACCTAGAGTCTGGTTTCCTTTGAATGACAGCCAATGGATATACTGTGGTATCTTTTGAATATATGGTTTTATTGAAACATATATGATCAAAGCCAGGGGTCAGCAACCTTTTTTAGCCATGGGCTGGTCCACTGTCCCTCAGACCATGTGGTGGGCTGGACTATATTTTTTGGGGGGGGTGAATGAATTCCTATGCCCCACAAATAACCCAGAGATGCATTTAAAATAAAAGCACACATTATACTCAGGTAAAAACACCAGGCAGGCCCCACAAATAACCCAGAGGTGCATTTTAAATAAAAGGACACATTCTACTCATGTAAAAACATGCTGATTCCCGAACTGTCTGTGGGCTGGATTGAGAAGGTGATTGGGCCGCATCCGGCCCCCGGTCCTTTGGTTGCCTACCCCTGATCTAAGCATAGGATGGAGAGGCTCGCAGCATGAACACCCCAACAGATCTTAATGCTCTAGGGAAGCCTCAAGTCACAGTTTTTGAGTCCAGCACAGAGCAAGACATGTCTCTGCAGTTTCCAGCTTCCAGTGTCTGCCAAAATTCACACATGCACAGCCCCCCTCCCCCTTAGCCTATCGTTCCCCATCCTAGGATGACATCAAGCCAGGGGAGTTGGGAAAAGGCCCGTCCATTTGTCTCTATGGCAACCTCTTTGGACATGTAAATAACAGTATTTAAGGCCATGACCTTAACAAAGGAACTAGTCTGACCAGTTTACCACGTTTCCTCTTGTAGATTCTAACCTCGCACAGGATCACAGGTTTGGAAGGGACCAATGGGTATCATCCAGACTGACCCCCCCCAAACCTATAACAATACACACACCACATATATCTCCTGAGGATACATTCCTATGGCACAATATTGAGCCAATTGAATTAACAGAGTGAATTCTAAGGCTAGTTTTTGATGTGTAAAATTGCTAAGAGTTGAATAAATTGGGAATCAAGTGGTGGGTGGCTAAACTGACTTAAAAAAAAATCAAGTATTAGTGTCACTACTTCAGAATTATTAAATTGACATTTTGCCCCATACTTAGATGGTTAGTTGTTGTGTGTGCAAGTGTTTCAGTTCCTGCTGTGTTTTGGAACTATAGAGACGTACATTAAAATAACAAAACCATGACAATAAGCTGAAACTCAGATGTGAGTAACCATCAGACTAGCTGGTAGCTCTAAAGGTAAAGGTAAAGGTACCCCTGCCCATACGGGCCAGTCTTGACAGACTCTAGGGTTGTGCGCTCATCTCACTCTATAGGCCGGGAGCCAGCGCTGTCCGCAGACACTTCCGGGTCACGTGGCCAGCGTGACATCGCTGCTCTGGCGAGCCAGAGCCGCACACAGAACGCCGTTTACCTTCCCGCTGGTAAGCGGTCCCTATTTATCTACTTGCACCCGGGGGTGCTTTCGAACTGCTAGGTTGGCAGGCGCTGGGACCGAGCAACGGGAGCGCACCCCGCCACGGGGATTTCGAACCGCCGACCTTTCGATCGGCAAGCCCTAGGCGCTGAGGCTTTAACCCACAGCACCACCCGCGTCCCGCTGGTAGCTCTAACCTTGTCCAAAGTGCTTGCAGCCTGTTACTTGGAGTGTTTCTTTCTTTCAGAGTATCACAGAAGCACAGTGAGAAGGTGTCGCTTTGATCCTCAGAACCAACGAATAGCTACAGTGTCATCTGACATGTCTTTTAAAATTCTGGGATATTATAGCACAGTCTACCACAGTCCACAATTGAGCGGTAAAAGAGACAGTGAAGCAGCTACCGATGTGGCTCTCATGAAGTCTGCTTCCTATTAGTGTAAAATCTGTAGCAGTTACATAAATGGGTAATGTGGCCACTTCCACTAAAACTAGATGTTAATTTTGGAATCTACTTTTCACACTCATTTCATGGGAGGCCCATCCACATAATAGTCACCCTCCTGTGTTTTCCTACTTGTGAGTGCTGAGAGTTCAGTTTTTCAAAATATTTTTATGTGCTTTTCGGGCAGTACTGTTTTAATTTTGGCAGTGACATATCAGGCAGCTGAACCTACCACAGCTCAGTATATCCACACTCCGTTTTTTAATGCTTTTCCAGATATAATTTTAAAAAATATTAACAAAATGGTCCTTTAATGAAAGAGTGTTTATTTCATTAATTTCATAGCACTTCTTCTTCTTCTTCTTCTTCTTCTTCTTCTTCTTCTTCTTCTTCTTCTTCTTCTTCTTCTTCTTCTTCTTCTTTTTGAAGCCAAACCGTTTTTCTGAGAAAGAAAACAGGAGTCCATTTTTAAAAGTATGTCTGTTTGCACTCAAAACATCCTTGGCCCCAACTAATCTTTTCTTTATATTTACCCTGTCCAGACTAGTGTTATTTTTACTTGCACGTCACAGGTGATTCTCCAAAGCTAGCCTTTGGAGGGCATTGTGCTCCTGGGATAAAAAGCATTTGCAGTTATGAGAATAGCCAGAAAGAGCAGCAACTGACCAGTAACTGGGTTTTTTCTGCAGTACCAGGGCTGAGGTCAAATAGTGTGCCCTACAGAAGAGTCAACACTGTAAATTTGATGGTATCCTGCTGCAGTGATCTGCACATCTTTTTCAGGGCACACACCAACGCAATTGCAGATTGCCGTTTCTCCTTGGATGGCCATTATTTGTGCACAGCAGGTTGGGATGAAGTCGTAAAGTTATGGGATATCAGGACAGGGGAGTTCCGTTCTCATGGACCCATTATTTTGGATCAGGGCCACATAGGAATAGTTGGCTGCTGTGATATTAGTAAGGATGGTGAGTAATGTGAAATGTCATATAATGGCACCTTTTACGCAAATGTATAAATGTGAAAGAAAAGTGTGTTTATTTCAGATGAGTCACAGGGGTCATGCTCAAACCACTAATTAAGTTCTCAACTTTCAGAATGAAATGATTTTCCGTATTGATTAAATGGTTGCTCATTTAATTGAGGTAGACTGAACTTGATGACTTATGGTAGATTGTTGTTCAGTCAGCCTTCTAGAACACCCCTTAATTGATAAGCTCATTAAGATCTATTGTTAGGTGAACATGTCTGAGCAGAGAAATAAAATGTCAAGCTTTATGATGCTGTGTCAGCCCCTGCTTATTCTATTCAAACCTCTGCCACTGTTTAAAATAGCCACTTTTCGCCATCAGTATGCTTCCATCCTCACTTTACTCAAACTCCTGCCATTGTTTTAAACCACCACTCTCCCCCTTCTCGCTCTCATGCCATTACCGCAGTTGTTTTGCAACATACCTTCACTTTTGCTCCTTTCCCCTAACATGACTTCCTGCAAATCCAGGCCTGTGATGTGGCCTAGAAATCTCCCAATGGGAGCTGCGTGATGACATTTTTACATTTTTATTATATAGAAAGATATGGCTTAGTATTCTTAATGCAGTATTTCAGTTGTATTAAAAGTCAAATATTCATTCACTTTTTCCTGTATGAATGAATCTTAGTTTATTTAATAACAAAGCACAAGGCAGTCACCTGACATAATTTTATATTTCAGCATCGCTTGTGGTGTCTGGAGGTTATGACAAAACAATCGTTATCTGGGACTCACGAGAGGCATATAAAAAGCTATGTTTAAAGGTACTGTGTAAGCATTTGCCTGGGCAAAGGAGGACTTAATTTTGCTTCTGTAGAAGTTAGCTGTGAAACTCCAACTGACTATGCAAGATCAGTTCCTAAATGAAAGATAACTTTTTTGAAAATGCTCTTTCTATAAGAATAATTAAATTGGTGTCTCTTTTTCCCTCAATCTCTTCATGTCATGTTTGATATCCAGTAACAATGTTTAAAACACTGACAATTTCACCGCTTTTATAGCTGATCCATTGGGCAGTGCCCACATATCTCCTGATAGTGCAATTCAGAAACCATATTCTGCACATTTCCACCTCTGGCACTAAGCCATTGAGTTGTAGTTGCTAGGAAACTAAGCCATAATTCCTAGGCTGGTTCATGATCAAGCATCACAGTTTTTTGAACAGCAATTGTACACCGAATATTTTCACTTATAGGTAACCATAACATTGTGAGGCCTGTATATTCAATAATGCTTGAGGTTGGTTAAGGGTCCCCAGCCTCTTTTGGGGCTGTGGGCACATTTCAAAATTTGAGAAACTCTTGCGGACAGGGCAGGGCTGGCTCACCCATGAGGCAACTGCCTCGGGTTGCCAGATCTGCAAGGACAGTAGATCCTCTGTGATGCCCCTTTGAGTCTGACTTCAACCCTTGGGTAAAGATGCTTTGACACTTCCCCCTGTGCTTGATGTCAATATTCACTCCTTCCTTGTTCCTGGTGTAGATATTCATTCCTCACTTCTTCCCTGGTGGCGGGGGAGGGAGGAGTGCCAGTTTGCGATTCGCCTCAGGTGCCGAAATGTCTTGGGCCGGCCCTGAGGCAGGGCACCACCACAACAGAAATGGCTGCCCTGCAGGCTGGCTAGCCACAAAAGGCAAATAACTTGCCCAGGGAACTGAGTAGCAAGGCAGAGGTTGGGTCTGAGCCCCAAGCGCCAAAACGTATTTGCCTCCAGAAGGCGATTCAACTTTGCGGAAGGAAAAGTGATGGTGCTCAGAGAACTCCCCTCCCCGAAAGCACGCACAAATGTCTTAAGGGTGAACAAAATCCCATTTTTGTGTAATCGGAAAACTGTTTCTTTACAGGGTCATGCAGGTTGGGTGACAGACATTGCCTTGAGTAGCAACAAGAAGTGGCTTGTATCTGCCTCAAAGGTATCATCAGTAAGCTTAGTTAAATAATTGGAAACATAGTTCAGTGGCTGTCTTCCTCCCACTCCTGACTGCTTCCGTAGATACCTCATTGTGATACTTCAATCCCATAAGGTTTTTTGTGGGCCCCTCAAAACCCCGACAAGTTTGTCCTAAAAAAAGAGAAAACCTTGAAGACCATTCTCGTGGGCCTCCTGCTATGAGTCTGTGGTGCCAAAAAATATGTGTAACTGTACACCCACCCACACCTCGATCCCCTCCATTTTAAATATTTTAAAATTGGCCACAACCACTTTTGCATTTCAGTCATGCCCACATTGACATGCAGCCCCCAAAGGTGTGGCCCTTGGCCTGAAAATGGTTATCCACCCCTGCTGTAAATTGATAGAAATCCTTCCGTTGTTTCAGGACTGTACTTTGAGAGTTTGGGACGTTGCAGATGCCCATGAAGTCCCTGTGGTGGTCCAAGCCATTAGAACAAGAGGCTCCAAGTTAGCAAAGGTCAGTCTTATTATTCCTCTCTTGGATGTAACTATCCTACAAGAATGTTTCTCTCTATTTGTATGTCCATATGCTTCCTCCTTTTCCTTTTAGCAAACCCCAACCTCCGAATCCTATGTGCCCTAAAGTCCATTCTGCGAGCCACAGGTGCATTTCACAGCCTTTGGATCAAAGAATGTTGAAAGGCAGAGCATCATTTAAGTCAGGGATGAAATCTGGAACTGGTTTTGAATGTCACACTTGAATATCGGAAACCATAATAAAGGAGAACATCTGAATAACAGAAAGCTGCATATCCTATAGTGCATAGCAGCCTTCCCTGGCCTGGTGCTTCCAGATGTTTTACACTATAACACCCAGCAGCCAGCTGGTGCTTTCCCCATATCCTTTCCCGACAGGAACAAGAGCTACCAGCATGACATTCCTATGGCAGCGAAAAAATATTTGAGGGGAAAATAGGCAGGCTCATATATGTATGTGTCTATGTGTCTGTGTACATCGTTGTCCCTGCACAGACTAGCGGCAGTGCATCTCAAATTCAGGATGCAATACAGTTGCCGAAACAATGTATTGATACCAGATGGAATTGCAGTCTTAACTTACTTCTGAGCACACATGCTTAGGATTGAGTTGTAGGGCTACAATCCTGGTCTTTCCTGGAAGCAAGCAGCATCGAACACAATGGGGCTTGCTTCTGACTGAACGCATACAGGATTGCACTGCACTGCAACCAAGAAAGTAAGTCATTTTAATCTTGCCCCGCTCATTTTGATGGGACTTAAGTGAACCCAGTATGGTCTGTCACCTAGTAAAATGCTACTAAAAAATTAGGAGCACATGCTGAATGTCTCTTATAGAGTGATTTCTGCTAAGCATTCATTAGCATTTGCAAAAATGGGTCTGCATGTCAGTTTGTTTTTAGAATGGAAATTCCTCTTGTTTGAACCACTGATATGTTATTTTTTTCTATATAAAAAAATCTAGTGTGAAGAATGTAAGAAGTCTTTCCTGCTCTTCCACAATGATGAAGACAAAGTAGAAATCAATTGTGTTTTCTGTCGGCTGGCAAGTTACAAAGAAAGTGTTCCGCCAGATCCCCCTCCATTGCCTCCACTGCCTCCTGATTTTTAAAGGAATCAGCAACAGGCCATTGCTGGAAATTTTTTAAGCGATAAAAGTTATTTGCCTGCATATACAGAACTCGGAACTGTTTTTTTAGTCTTTAATTACATACTGAAATTCCTATGGAATAGAGTCATTTGAAGGATCCACTGCGTCCTACTGGTTGACAAGCATAAAATAAAAAAAATAAGTACTGCCAAGTGGATTTACACAACTTCTAGTTCCACTGTGGTCCTCTCTTAAGTGTAATTGAAAAAGTAACCCAGTGATGCAAGAGGAAAGTCGTATGAATCTCAATCTAGCGCGGAACAATTAAACAACATGTGCACCATTAAGCAACACGAGTCTAGCTGAGAGGTGGAACTTGCAGTCTTCGGAATTCTGAAATCCACATTAGAGCAATACCTTTATTAGGGCAATCAAAATGTCACAAAATAGTGTGCAAGCCATGAAGCTTCAATCTGATCAAAGCCTCAAAAAGGAAAGTGGGAGAAGGTTGCTGACATTCAAGGGAAGCTCTGTTAGGTGCTCTGTTAGGTGTGATTTCTATAATTTAGCAGAGCATCATTTGAATGTCTCCCACATTCAGTCTTGGAGATTTTCATCAGTTGCAGACCCCATGAATTTCAGCATCAACCAAATTTTTTCCTCCCCTCCACCTTAGGCTATCTTGTAGCCCGATTTAATATTATTTTACTTAACAGAATTATATGCTGTTTAATCATACATAACCTCTAAGCAGTTTACATAGAATATGAAATGTTCATTAAAATATTGATAAAATCAAACATTAATAGCAAGTTTACTTGAAATTTATCAAAATGCATAAAAATACATCTTAAAACTATTTATGGAAGACTTACCTAAACAAAAAACCTTTAGCAGGTGCCAGAAATAATACAGCAAAGATGCCTTTTAATATCAATGGGAAGGAAGTTCCAGAGACTAGTTGCTGCCACACTGAATAATCAATTCCTTGGAACTGAAGAGTTCTGGAGAACGTGAAAGTGTGACCACAATTGTCTGACATTTTGCTTGGCCCAATAAAAGCATTGCCCCGATACAGGTTTTGGGATTTTTCTTATGGACCAAGATGGCTACTTCTACGTTTTGAATCTTGGAAGTGTGTTCATATTTGGTTGCATTTGCAAATGTAGATAAACATATGTGTATAAATGTAGACTGCCAGTTTTAAGGAACACGGGAACAAACCGCTATTCTGAATAATGCTTTTTGTAGGAAAGGATAGGGAGCACTGGGGATGAGTTTATGGAACTTTGATGGCCCAAAAAGGTTTGAGAACCACTGATAGATGCTGCTACAATCAGGGTGAAGTGCCTACCTCAGGCGTCAGGATCCGCAGTGGCACTGGCAGCAGATCCCAATGTAGACTTTTATCCCCCTTTTGTTCCTGAGGGACTTGGGTGCGTTCGGCCTGGAGACCGACAGGAGATCTGAGAGCCCTTTTCACATAACTTAAAGGCTGTCACATCGAAGATGGAGCAAGCTTGTTTTCTCCTGATCTGAAGGGTAGGACTGGAAACAACGGATTCAAGTTACAAAAAGAGAGATTCCAACTAAAACATTAGGAAGAGTTGTTTGACAGTGGAACAGATTCCCTTGGGAGGTGTTGGACATTCCTTCCTTAGAGGTTTTTAAGCCGAGATTGGACGGCCATCTGCCATAGTTGAGATTCCTGCATTGCAGGGGGCCGGACAAGATAACTCTTGGGGTCCCTTCCAACTCTATGATTCTATGTAGATCTCCACTTACTCCTTCCTTGGTGGGGAAGGGGAGGGGTCGCCACTTTGTGGTTTGCCTCAGGTGCCAAAATGTCTCTGGCAGACCCTGGCTACAACCCACCATCTCTGCTCAGAAGCACAGGCCCATGGGGTACTGAGGCCCCCAGTCCTTCCAGCGACAGCCCCCTCCCTGTGGCCTTTCCTTGTTGTGATGGCCTCCTTAGTCTGTACAAGGCTTTTTTTGGGGGGGAGGGTATTAAGGGAGGGGGCCTTGAGCTTTCCCTCCCCGCCCTCCCAGCTAAGTTTGATCCCCTGCAAGTTTTCTGCACCCTCCTGGTCCCTTCCAACTCTACAATGCTGTGATCTATTCCAGCCATAGGAGCCAACTCTCAGGGGCCGAGAGGCTTTTGCCCCCCAATAAAATATTTGAGGGCCCCCCAAAAAGTTAATGAGCATCTCCAAATATGGTGTGTGTGCTGCATCATGCGATCGATTGTGTGGGGCGGGAATTGCCTCCCCCCACCAAAAAATATTGTTTTTCAAGTTGGCGCCGCTGATTCTAGCAGAATCGACCCTCGGAGAAGTGCGATGCCGCTGGAGGGTCCTATTGAAGCCTACCCACGTCTACTCAGAGTAAGCTCCGCTGGAGTTCAGCGGGTCCCACTCCCCGGGAAATTGCATCTTTGCAAGGGGCTCTCCCTCTGCGCATCTTTGCAAAGCGCTTCTCTCAGTCAAAGCTGAGCTGTAGTACAAGCCCTACAAACCATCAACACCCCGCCCCCCAAAAATACACAAATCCCGATGCCGGTCCCTGATCCTTAGGAAGTGCGGTGGGTGGGCATGCAGAAGAACGCCTCCCGTCCACGTGCGGATCCAGCCGCGGCTGCATCTCCCGCAGGCCGCTTCCTCTTCCTCCTCCTCCTCCTTCCTTCTCCCTCCCGGAGGTACATGAAGGCTGCTCCGCTGCTCACCCTACCGGCCGGCGCCGTGGCTTAGTTGGTTAAAGCGCCTGTCTAGTAAACAGGAGATCCTGGGTTCGAATCCCAGCGGTGCCTGCAGAGGAGTCGCCTCTGTTTTGCCTGCTCCTGCAGGAGGTGGCCTTATTTTTATGCCCACCCGCCCTACTCGGCGGGAGAAAGCGAGAGAGGCGCGCTCGGATCCTCCGCCTCCTTCGCTCCAGGTGCTGCTTAAAGGTTTTGCTGCTGCGCGCCGCTTTGCAAGAGGCTCTTGCCCAGGCGCCCGCTTTGCAAGATGCCCGATGCCCTTCCTAGGCGCTCTTAAGAGTAGCCCCCATGCCCCACCCCCCGGCAGCAGCCCCATCGCGGATCCACGCGCGGGGAGGGGGGGCGAACCCACAGCTGAGCCCTTTGCAATTGCAGTCACGAGTAAATGTACACCTTTTTGCAAAAATGGGTTATCATAACAAGAGAGAGAGATAATCTTACGTGTGGCAGTAGTTTGACATCTTGCAGAAAATACGTTTTAATTATTATTTTTTACACGGCAGTGTGTTTGTTGCCTGCACCTTTTAGACTTGAACTGCCGATTTCTCTCTGTGTGTGTTTCTCCTTCCTTTAAACAGGGCCACTTTTTAACTATGCCAGGCATAGGGGAAAACACCCTCCAGCTCCCATAGATGACCCTCTTTATTCTTTAATGTTTCCTATTCTTTCATGCTTCCTTCCTTGTTAACATGTTGAAAAGGATGCTCAGCAGATGCCCACTGGTGACGCATTATTCTTAAGACAGGCACACACAGAGAAACTTGACAAGGTATGGTATGTTTTTCAGAATCCTGCTTATTCCGACCACGCAGACTTTGAAGGGAAGAGTGTTTGTCACATCATTCTACATTCATTCATTCATTCATTCATTCATCTATTTATAGACATGTGTTTGTGTAGTTGTCCAGATTAATCCGGAACCACTGCTGTCCCTGCTTATTTCCTTGCCGTCATCAATACACGCGAAAACTCGCAGAGGGGCATGCATCAATATGTGCCAGAAAATGCTTCATCAAGTTGATTAATCCAACCCAAAGGGCAGCGGCGTAGCGTGGGTTGTCAGCACCCGGGGCAAGGCAAGTAATTTGCGCCCCCTAACCCGTGGATTTGCGCCCCCTAACCTGTGGATTTGTGCCCCCTAACCCGTGGATTTGCCCTAACCCCAGATGTTGCGCCCGGTGCGGCCGGCCCCCCTGCACCCCCCACGCTACGCCACTGCCAAAGGGTCAATCCAGTTTAGGCTACAATCCTAAACACCCTCACTAAGGAGGAACTCTGTGAAATTCACTTTGGATAGTGGTCAGAAAGTGTCACTGAGACTTTCACAAGCAAAGCTCAGTGATGGTGGAGGTTTGTCCCTTGGTAAGGTTTACAGACTTTATCCTGACCTCTTCCCCCATCCTCCCATTCAGAGCCTCCAGAGCTGCCCATTTCCTCCTCATTATGCCAAAGATGGATACTTGCACTGACTGGACCTTATGTCGCCATAACACTGTCCTACCTCCCCTGTACTATCATTAATTAGGGTCATGGGCGTAGACAGGCCTTTTGTTAGGGGGGACAGAACCTCAGTTTGCTATGTATTTTTATTTATTTTTATTGTTGGTGGGAAAGCTGTCCCCTCCCTTCCCCCCTTGGCCATGCCCATGTGGTTGATGTCTTAGTAACAATCTTACCCTGGTCCAACCAGCATAACTCAAGGGCAATATTGCAGCCTTACAGCACCGTCTTGATTATGTCTACTCAGAAGTGAGTCCTGAATTCATTGGGGATCATCCCAGGCAACTGTGGTTAGGACTGCAGCTTTAAGTGAGTACAGTCGTACGTTGGATTTCAAACACCTTGGCTCCTGAACAAATCGACTCCCGAATAATTTTTGGAAGCCGAACATCCGGTGCGACTTCCACAGCCTCCAGTAACAGTTCCGGGAGTCGAACAGCCTCCCGGAACACATTTTGTTCAAGAACCAAGGTATGACTGTAAATGATTTCTTAGATGCTAACACAACCACTGGTAAAAATGTTGTCTGGGTTACCGTGATTACAGTAAGCCCACAACTTACATACATGCTTTTAACTTGTGCGCATTCAGCTTTACATGTGTGGCAAACAAACAAACAAACAAATAAGGGTGGAAAGGGGGCAGGCTTATGGGGGAAATGACTTTGGCAATCCCACCTGCCATCCAACCCAATGACTATATTGGTTTTGCCTTTATGTGTGATCCCCGGAACATAACACATGGTAAGTTGCAAGCATACTGTACCCCAAGTCTCAGAAGGAGGATCTCCTCCCATAGAGGATAGGATATGTGTTGAGTCCTG